GTGGAAGCCACCGCTAAACACACAAGAAGAAGCACAACTGAATAAAGTTACCGTGTGTACACGGGAGCCAACAAAAAACAAAACAGCAACAACCATAAGCCGAAGCTAGCATTGCCATGATATGCTCCACAGCAATGCTAGCAGTAAGCCAGCAAGTGATAGCAACATTTGCCAAACACATTCATACATAACGGTAACAGCAAGTTACCTAATGTTATCATGCAGCTGGTCACTAATGAAAACAGATATTTAATATTATGTACCCATCACATTACTTACGCATCAGGGGGAAGAAAAGCCAGTTCTGAGTAAAGCTGGTGCCCTTTAGCAGCTGGTAGGGTTCTCCATCTCATAAAAGCCGGACCAGTCCCGGCTTCATGGTCCAGGACCAGCAGCATGGATGACACCGATGGAGCCAGTGTTGGGTATTAGTCTGTTCCCCCATCAGATAGTGTTTCCTATAGCAGGAAGAGGGCGAACAGTTTAACAAAAGTGACTCACATACAATAACATGCACACGCTGCCAGACTTGATACCAAAACAAAGAACAGAGAAATTCAGATTACAACACATTCACAGAAGGTGTGACTTTGTTCTCTACTCTCATATCTTTACATAGAAAATAGTTGTTTGCTGCCATATTATTGTTTAAAATCTAGTTTACAGAACTTATAATGGGATGGGAAATGAAAACTAAACATGCAGGTACTGGTGGACCAGTTAGGTGATGATAATCTATATCAATAACATTTTCCTTTCGCTATCAAAATGTATTCTGAGTGACAGTAGGCTTTAGCAGTATCCTGTTTTTAATTAACACTAAGTTTTCATTGTATGATATGTGTAAACCATAAAATGTTAATTCAGTATAGCTCTTGATGTCAAGATATCCAAGTGCTTCAATCTTAAGTACAACTAGTAGGTAAAATTTAAATCTACAACACAATAAAAGGTGCAAAAAGTGAAGGTTTATGAATACTTTCTGAAGGCACTGTGCAGCTATGTGACAAATAAAACAGGTAAAACACTTGTATGTTCCCTTAAAAAAAGAAAAACACATGCACACACACATAGGACTACTTGGCAGATGTAATAATTTTAGACATTATCTCTTGCAGACATTCCTGTAAAAGCAAGAAAAATACTTCAGTAAGGTACTTGATATGAATTTAAGATACTTGAACACCAACACTATGCTGCTTTTTTTCTACACACAAACAACTTTCACACATACCACACAGTGTCCAGTCAAAGTGTTTGTGTGTTTGTGTGTTTGTGTGTGTGTGTGTGTGTGTGTGTGTGTGTGTGTGTAGGCTGGTGTAATGAGGTGGAGACAGTTGTCCATTACTTCCTGAGCTGATGGCTCCTCGCAGCAGTGCAGCCACAGCTGGAAGAGAGGAGGAGGAGGCACCAACACGGAGGAGAACACCAGACACATTCAGGCATATTCACCCTCTGTGTGTTTGTTCGTGCCTCAGACTGTACAGCAGTTTTCAAATGAGAAGTTATTAATTGCATTTTAGACAAAAAAAAAAAACACATTAAAGTAGAATCAGTTTAAACTTCATGACAAGAGAAAAAAACTTACCTGGATAGAGATGTACAAGAAGAATGCTTTTTAAAGGAGTTTCATACAGAATGAGATCTTTTTCCTCCAGTGTTAATCTAACTCTGCAGGTTTAAAAAAACTTACTATTGCAGATAGATTTTAGTGAACTGTAATATTTCTTATTTACTTGACTTTAACCTAGATCGTTGTCTTGTAAAGATGTTCAGCGGTTACCAGGAAACTCAATGTTGATATCATACGGGTTCCTGTAAATTTAAAGAAAACTGCAACTCACTCTCTCAAAAAAATCAGTCAGATTTACAATAAGGCAAACATTACATACATCTCATATATTTAAAAAAACATGAGATTTTTCATTATATAAAAAACGATAAAATTAAGAAAGAATTACCTCCCTGTGCAGTGTTGAGCAAGTACTGCAGGTATTTCAACAACACTACACATTTTGGCATTTTTTGTGTATCTGTAACCAGTTTATTAACAGCAGTGTAGTAGTGGGGTATTTCTGTAGCATGAGTGGCAACCTCATAGGTTGAGGACCTTTATTGTAAAGTCCTGCAGGTCTGACCTACTGGGGTATGAAGAAAAAAGCAGGTGAGTGTCGCCATCTAGAGTTTATAAAGCATAACTTCATCCTAGGAGCTTTTTTTTTGGTTCACCTGGTCAGGGCTTGCATGTAATGAGTTGGTGTATTTATGTACCAAAACCTGCAAACTTACATGGGTCACTTATTTCAGCCCACTCTTTTGTTTTTTGTTTTTTCCACTGGTACTGTGTGTGTGTAGAATTAGTTTTTAGTACTTGCTAATGTACATCCCCAGCCCATGAGGTTGGAGGAGTACCTGGCTTCACATGGTTATAAAATACTTTCATGATCAATGTCTGGATAAAAATCTAAAAGATAAAAGATCCGGCAAATGTGGAGTCCTGAATAATCAGGTGTGCACAGGTGCTGCACCCTCACAGGTGTTTTCACTGCACTGACCTAACACATCTCTGATCCTTCTTAGTTTGGTTGACAAAAACGTACAACTTTATTATTCATTAAGTTTGATGACTTGAAATAATTTCAGGATAGCACTACACAATCTCTGACACCTCACATAAACTGAAAGCCCCAAACACCCGTGGTGCATCAAATAGGTGTTTTCACTTAATTAACCTAATAGAGTAGGATGACGTACTGTTATCACTCTTAGGGCAGGCTACTTGAAATAGCTTGCCTCACATAATTATAAACCTGAAAAGAAAGAGATTGAAAATACCTGTGAGGGTGTAAAGGGATGTCAAGTATAAATATAAAACAAACATCAGCAACTTCACACTTCCCCCAAGCCACCTGTATTTCTTGAACTTCATCGATCTGTCATTCACCTCTCCTCGGGGAGATGGCTTCAGACTTTCTCCACCCCCACCTTCCCTTAACAGCAACACTGTACCCACCCACTAAGGTTGCCATTACACTCCTGACATCCAAGCATGGTTAGAGTGCAGTGACAAATTTCTGTACCCGTGCCTGCCAAAGAAGGAATTTCAATTAAAAACACTACTTTTGAAAAACACTCACTTGACTTGTCTAACTCAGACTGCTGAATGTCGTCACATAAACTGTGGACTGTAGTGTTTCTGCACACTGGATTTTGTCACCCACCCCCTCCATTTGAAATGTAAACAGGAGGAAGAGTGACAGTGAGCAAAACCAGTTTCGTTGTACATGTGAGCACCTGTCTATTGTTTAAAGACAGACGTGATAAACTATGACGCTGTTTTAACTGTACCTTCCAGCATGGCTCCTCGCCTGCTGCTCAAACACAAGTTAGCCTATGACAAACCTAAAATCATCACTTTTAGAAACTACACTACAACTGATTGAAATACAGATCATTTGTGTGTAATCAGGCACAACTGCTGACTAGTCAAAAAGTACATCATGAGGTCAAAAGAACATTTCACACAAATCTGCTGCTAGGTTACTGACAAGCGCAAACGAAAGTACATGACAATTTCCACACCACTGAACGTGGAACATGCAATTACTTTGATTTTATCTTTCTAACTAAATTAGATTACATGTTTCACTTTCACATTTAAATCTATGCCTAGTGCTAGAAATCCTGCCAAATATCCAGAGTGATTGAGTGCTGCCACACGTCAGTCAGTATTCACAAGGGGTGTGTACTTAAATTGATGTCAACTTTATTCGTTATGATTCAATCTCTTTTGAATAAAAGAAAAAACAATGAAAATCTAATCAAATCAAAAATATTCAAGCTTTTGTCTCTTTCCTGCTCCATACCTGTTGAACATTAACATTGCTGCACATCAAAGAAAATATGACTAATCCACAGCGCAAAGTGCTGAACATTTACAATTTATATAAATTTAAAAAGAGAGCGTGTACAGGATTTGAGCATTATCTACAAAACAGAAATGTTCAAAGTTTTTCTTATCTCACGACTGCTTTCAGTGATCCGTGAAACCAGTGATCTGTCACACTTTGATGGTTAAAATAAAACGTGGAAGGTTTCCCAAACGGTTTCATAGCACTAGAAAAAAATCTTGCAATTCACTACACAGTGCAGGACATAAAGTACAAGCTGTGATTCTCTTCATAATTGCATTGGTGCCTTATCTGAACCTGCCACACAGGAGTAATGCAAATGAAGTATTGTACAAATTCTAGAAATAAGTCAAAAATAATAAAAACCAATCAACAGCAAAGAGCCAGAAAAGTTTCAGTGTTTAATTGTTTGTTATGGAGTAAACCTGTGAGTTTTTTCCCTGAATTACAATAAGCAAATGTGATTGCAACATGTCAAACAATCAGATTTTCTAAACTGCCACCAAACTGATTGAAATTTAACAGAAGAGCTGATTAAAATTGATTTTAATGACAGAACACAGCATGAACATGGCCTGATATTTTGCAATGGAGCTTTCCTACACATTATGTATTAAGATGGACATCTGAACTCAACATCATGCAAAAAAAAATTTAATATTTGTTGACTTGCTTTGCACATAAATTACTGACAAAGAATATATCAAGAGATTCATATTCCTTTAGGTTATCCTGGCAATCATTTCAGGCTGGCTCTTGTGATTATATGCAACATAAAATCAAAGTAAATTTTTTAATCTGGGTGGCAAAAAAAGGTTACAAAAACCCAAGATGTGAGAGGGAGCATGCTTTCACTGCCAAGGTATGTGGTAGCTTTTTTTTCCCTTCAGTCCTGTCACTACTATGTTTATAAAAAATAAAAAAAAGTTGAATATGACAAATTATAGGATTTATTTATTTGTCATAAAAGGTGCCAAACGTTGTAAATGCAAGGATGAAAACCATTATACAAAAATCCTTAAGACTATTTACTTTTTCTTATGTCAAAAATAAATTTAGATATAAATAAAATACAATTTCAGCCAAGAATATAGCTTATAAACACAAACTTTAATTGGTTGTTAGAATTCTCTCCTCAGGAGAATCCTCGAGGAAATCCTCATGAAGTTTTAAGCACCATCTTGAGACACTGTGTACAGCAGGTAGGCTACTTGTTATATTCATGATATACATAAAAATTTAAATTCCTAATACCACCATGTGACCACCAATACCTTTTGCTTTTTTGTTGCTTTAAATATCGAACAGCTGTCCTGTTGTTTTCTGGGTTTTTTTGTGCATTCAGCTACACAATATTCAATGTTTCTCATGTGCCGCTTGTCACTGTGACCTACACCTACCTTAGTCTAAAGAGACAAGCTGCAAGTTTAGAACATGAATTTTTAAGGGTTGACTGTGTGAGAAGCGCAGTACATTATAAAGAGAAAAAAAATGAATGAGAGGGACATTGGAAAATTATCATCCATAAGAATACTCCATGCCATCCTACCTCAATCCATCCACAATAATAACATGATAATATATAGCATTAACTACCATCTTTTGTATCTAACTGAAAGTGGTTTACCATTGTTTTGTTTTGTTTTTTAAAAAGGTCACAACAGGAACCTACTCAGGGGCCACGAGTCTTCTCTTCTAAGGTTAGGCAAAATGGCACACTGCTGGCAGTCTGCATGTGTAAGTGTGTGTGTGCACGTCTCTGTCATTTGTTAATGTCGCGGGCCACTCGGTCGAGGAAGAGGGGGTCCTAAACAGAGGGAGAGAGGAGTAGAGACAAAGGGGAAAAAAGACAAGACAAAACAAAAAAAAGACACATCAAGTTAAAATGAAACTTTCTTTGTTTATACCCAGTGTAGTCTCTTAATTCATAGTACCTATATATAAATGCTGGATAACAATCTTACAGAACATACTGAACCAATACAAATCTAACGAAGAAGGAGAAGAGAAATCTATTTCCAGACAAAAGTGAAGGAAAAAATCATAAGAGACCCACCTGGAGCAGAGAGAAGCGGAGGGCGTGAACTCTTTAGGGAGGGAGGGGCTCCTCGAATACTGTGAGGGCCCCTGGGGCCTGTGTGGTATGGAAGAGGATGGTGGAGTAGGGGCCCACGACACACAGCAGGGGAACCATAAGGGCTGTGTGAGGATGGGAGGCCTCGTGAAGCTGGGGCTCCTAGTGATGGACCAGGAGGCCGATGTAAGGACAGCAGTGGAGGAGGTTTGGTTTTGGGATAAGAACCTTAAAAAAAAAGAAAAAGGAGAAAAGAAATACATTCACTGCAAGGCTATTTTTTGTTGTTTTGGATTCCCTTGCTACAGTAATTTCTAAAGTCTTTGCAAATAGTTTTACACACTGTTACTGACATTAAATCAAACTGGTGGAAAAACTTTTTGTCCATCAAGTGTTTTTGAAATTATTCCAGATCAGAACCACGGATTTGCCAAAAATATCACTGAAACTGATAATAGCACATACTGTAAATATAAATGTGGCATTGCAGAAATTTAATAATGCAAATTATACATTATGACACCCTGTTTTAGCTTGACCACATTCACACATTCATAAAAAAAATGCATTTAAAATGCAGACAAGTCAGTTACCAAGGACAGGGAGAGTACAGAAAAGCCTGAAATTGGCTTCTAAAACTAGAAATGTCATGGAACCATATGAAAGGTATAACCTGAGGTGGATATCTGGCAGACAGCACAATTGGAATTAATTTAGAGGCCTCTGCCATTGATGCATATAATACAATGTACTGTGGGTCTGAAAACAGGGTGAACAAAGTTATTGTTCCAACACTTTTATCAGAATTTTCTTCAGAAAGTGGTCAAGTCTGCC